AGACACCTCATAATCTCGTAAAAAACGAGGACGTAGTAGCACAAAAGTAGTACGTCTTTCTCCAAATCAGAAATTTGTTGTTTGTTCAGGGCAAGTTGGGGTCAATTGTATGATTCTTTTGGAACCTACTCTAAAATATGCATTGCAGCCAGGCGATCAAAACAATCATGAAGTTTAGCTGGGTCCCCAGATTAAAAGTTTGAACTCAAGTAACTCCCACACATTGACATGGATTTTCAGAAAGCGCACAAATGTCTGGAAGGCAAGACCTCGTGGCGCAACGGTAGCGTGTCTGACTCCAGATCAGAAGGTTGCGTGTTCAAATCTTTTATGCTTAATACAGATGTCTTTTATGCTTATTGAACATTGCAACATGAGCATTGCAAACAGGCCATCAAAAAGGCATAAGGTTGTGCTGCCGGACTACACAGTGTTCTGTGTAAGTTCTGTCTGCCAGCTACAACTTTTTGACAACATCCAAAGACACTAAAAAAGGTGCCCAGCAGTGAGCAATTACATTTCTGAACATACTGCAACATGAGCATTGCAAACAGGCCATCAAAAAGGCATAAGGTTGTGCTGCTGGACTACACAGTGTTCTGTGTAAGTTCTGCTGCAGCTACAACTTTTTGACAACATACAAAGACACTAAAAAAAGGTGCCTAGCAGTGAGCAATTACATTTCTGACCATAGCCTAACGGGCATAAGCATGAAACGCCCAAACAGGGACTTGGACCCTCAGATTAAAAGTCTGATGCTCTACCGACTGAGCTATCCGGGCTTCGTCTGAGACTTCTTGGACGGCTTGTGTCGGAGTAAAATATGATATGTTTTGCACTCAATGTTCTAGCAACTGGAACCTCATTGGTTTTATATGCACATTTCACAAGATTAATCAAAGCCAAGTACACCTGTAGTAAATGGGGGATTTGCAAATGCCAGGTGTAATTCTTTTCAGAAACATGGGCTTTAACCAGAAAAAAGGTCACTTCAAATACCTGGACACAAAGTAACTCTTTAAAATGAACATGGATTTTCAGACACCTCATAATCTCGTAAAAAAACGAGGACGTAGTAGCACAAAAGTAGTACGTCTTTCTCCAAATCAGAAATTTGTTGTTTGTTCAGGGCAAGTTGGGGTCAATTGTATGATTCTTTTGGAACCTACTCTAAAATATGCATTGCAGCCAGGCGATCAAAACAATCATGAAGTTTAGCTGGGTCCCCAGATTAAAAGTTTGAACTCAAGTAACTCCCACACATTGACATGGATTTTCAGAAAGCGCACAAATGTCTGGAAGGCAAGACCTCGTGGCGCAACGGTAGCGTGTCTGACTCCAGATCAGAAGGTTGCGTGTTCAAATCACGTGATGTCTTTTATGCTTAGAACATACTGCAACATGAGCATTGCAAACAGGCCATCAAAAAGGCATAAGGTTGTGCTGCACTAACAGTGTTCTGTGTAAGTTCTGGTAAGTTCTGCCAGCTCAACTTTTTGACAACATCCAAAGACACTAAAAAAGGTGCCCAGCAGTGAGCAATTACATTTCTGACCATATATTGAACATACTGCAACATGAGCATTGCAAACAGGCCATCAAAAAGGCATAAGGTTGTGCTGCTGGACTACACAGTGTTCTGTGTAAGTTCTGCCAGCTACAACTTTTTGACAACATCCAAAGACACTAAAAAAGGTGCCCAGCAGTGAGCAATTACATTTCTGACCATACTGCAACATGAGCATTGCAAACAGGCCATCAAAAAGGCATAAGTGCACTACACAGTGTTCTGTGTAAGTTCTGCCAGCTACAACTTTTTGACAACATACAAAGACACAAAAAGGCCTAGCACAATTGACCATAGCCTAACGGGCATAAGACCCTTGGACCCTCAGATTAAAAGTGTGATGCTCTACCGACTAAGCTATCCGGGCTTCGTCCGAGACTTCTTGGACGGCTTGTGTCGGAGTAAAATATGATACGTTTTGCACTCAATGTTCTAGCAACTGGAACCTCATTGGTTTTATATGCACATTTCACAAGATTAATCAAAGCCAAGTACACCTGTAGTAAATGGGGGATTTGCAAATGCCAGGTGTAATTCTTTTCAGAAACATGGGCTTTAACCAGAAAAAAGGTCACTTCAAATACCTGGACACAAAGTAACTCTTTAAAATGAACATGGATTTTCAGACACCTCATAATCTCGTAAAAAACGAGGACGTAGTAGCACAAAAGTAGTACGTCTTTCTCCAAATCAGAAATTTGTTGTTTGTTCAGGGCAAGTTGGGGTCAATTGTATGATTCTTTTGGAACCTACTCTAAAATATGCATTGCAGCCAGGCGATCAAAACAATCATGAAGTTTAGCTGGGTCCCCAGATTAAAAGTTTGAACTCAAGTAACTCCCACACATTGACATGGATTTTCAGAAAGCGCACAAATGTCTGGAAGGCAAGACCTCGTGGCGCAGTAACGGTAGCGTGTCTGACTCCAGATCAGAAGGTTGCGTGTTCAAATCACGTCTGGGTCATGTCTTTTATGCTTATCAAAAAGGCATAAGGTTGTGCTGCCGGACTACACAGTGTTCTGTGTAAGTTCTGCCAGCTACAACTTTTTGACAACATACAAAGACACTAAAAAAAGGTGCCTAGCAGTGAGCAATTACATTTCTGACCATAGCCTAACGGGCATAAAAAGGCATAAGGTTGTGCCGCTGGAAACGCCCAAACAGGGACTTGGACCCTCAGGGACTTGGAAAGATTAAAAGTGTGATGCTCTACCGACTGAGCTATCCGGGCTTCGTCTGAGACTTCTTGGACGGCTTGTGTCGGAGTAAAATATGATATGTTTTGCACTCAATGTTCTAGCAACTGGAACCTCATTGGTTTTATATGCACATTTCACAAGATTAATCAAAGCCAAGTACACCTGTAGTAAATGGGGGATTTGCAAATGCCAGGTGTAATTCTTTTCAGAAACATGGGCTTTAACCAGAAAAAAGGTCACTTCAAATACCTGGACACAAAGTAACTCTTTAAAATGAACATGGATTTTCAGACACCTCATAATCTCGTAAAAAACGAGGACGTAGTAGCACAAAAGTAGTACGTCTTTCTCCAAATCAGAAATTTGTTGTTTGTTCAGGGCAAGTTGGGGTCAATTGTATGATTCTTTTGGAACCTACTCTAAAATATGCATTGCAGCCAGGCGATCAAAACAATCATGAAGTTTAGCTGGGTCCCCAGATTAAAAGTTTGAACTCAAGTAACTCCCACACATTGACATGGATTTTCAGAAAGCGCACAAATGTCTGGAAGGCAAGACCTCTGGCGCAACGGTAGCGTGTCTGACTCCAGATCAGAAGGTTGCGTGTTCAAATCACGTCGGGGTCATGTCTTTTATGCTTATTGAACATACTGCAACATGAGCATTGCAAACAGGCCATCAAAAAGGCATAAGGTTGTGCTGTGTCTGACTTTTTGACAACATCCAAAGACACTAAAAAGGTGCAGATCATTGAACATACTGCAACATGAGCATTGCAAACAGGCCATCAAAAAGGCATAAGGTTGTGCTGCCGGACTACAGTGTTCTGTGTAAGTTCTGCGTAGGTTCTGCCAGCTACAACTTTTTTATGACACTAAAAAAGGTGCCCAGCAGTGAGCAATTACATTTCTGAACATACTGCAACATGAGCATTGCAAACAGGCCATCAAAAGGCATAAGGTTGTGCTGCTGGACTACACAGTGTTCTGTGTAAGTTCTGCCAGCTACAACTTTTTGACAACATACAAAGACACTAAAAAAGGTGCCTAGCAGTGAGCAATTACATTTCTGACCATAGCCTAACGGGCATAAGCAAGAAACGCCCCCAGCAACAGGGACTTGGACCCTCAGATTAAAAGTGTGATGCTCTACCGACTAAGCTATCCGGGCTTCGTCTGAGACTTCTTGGACGGCTTGTGTCGGAGTAAAATATGATACGTTTTGCACTCAATGTTCTAGCAACTGGAACCTCATTGGTTTTATATGCACATTTCACAAGATTAATCAAAGCCAAGTACACCTGTAGTAAATGGGGGATTTGCAAATGCCAGGTGTAATTCTTTTCAGAAACATGGGCTTTAACCAGAAAAAAGGTCACTTCAAATACCTGGACACAAAGTAACTCTTTAAAATGAACATGGATTTTCAGACACCTCATAATCTCGTAAAAAAAACGAGGACGTAGTAGCACAAAAGTAGTACGTCTTTCTCCAAATCAGAAATTTGTTGTTTGTTCAGGGCAAGTTGGGGTCAATTGTATGATTCTTTTGGAACCTACTCTAAAATATGCATTGCAGCCAGGCGATCAAAACAATCATGAAGTTTAGCTGGGTCCCCAGATTAAAAGTTTGAACTCAAGTAACTCCCACACATTGACATGGATTTTCAGAAAGCGCACAAATGTCTGGAAGGCAAGACCTCGTGGCGCAACGGTAGCGTGTCTGACTCCAGATCAGAAGGTTGCGTGTTCAAATCACGTCGGGGTCATGTCTTTTATGCTTATTGAACATACTGCAACATGAGCATTGCAAACAGGCCATCAAAAAGGCATAAGGTTGTGCTGCCGGACTACACAGTGTTCTGTGTAAGTTCTGCGTAAGTTCTGCCAGCTACAACTTTTTGACAACATCCAAAGACACTAAAAAAGGTGCCCAGCAGTGAGCAATTACATTTCTGACCATATATTGAACATACTGCAACATGAGCATTGCAAACAGGCCATCAAAAGTTCTGCGTAAGGCCAGCTACAACTTTTTGACAACATCCAAAGACACTAAAAAAGGTGCCCAGCAGTGAGCAATTACATTTCTGAAGAGTTGCAAACAGGCCATCAAAAAGTAAGGTTGTGCTGCTGGACTACACAGTGTTCTGTGTAAGTTCTGCCAGCTACAACTTTTTGACAACATACAAAGACACTAAAAAAGGTGCCTAGCAGTGAGCAATTACATTTCTGACCATAGCCTAACGGGCATAAGGTTGTGAAACTGCCAGTGTTCTGTGTAAGTTCTGCCAACAGGGACAACATGCAGACACTAAAAAAGGTGCCCAGCAGTGAGCCTGACCCTCAGATTAAAAGTGTGATGCTCTACCGACTAAGCTATCCGGGCTTCAGGGACTTGAGACTTCTTGGACTACTTCTTGGACTTGTGTCGGAGTAAAATATGATACGTTTTGCACTCAATGTTCTAGCAACTGGAACCTCATTGGTTTTATATGCACATTTCACAAGATTAATCAAAGCCAAGTACACCTGTAGTAAATGGGGGATTTGCAAATGCCAGGTGTAATTCTTTTCAGAAACATGGGCTTTAACCAGAAAAAAGGTCACTTCAAATACCTGGACACAAAGTAACTCTTTAAAATGAACATGGATTTTCAGACACCTCATAATCTCGTAAAAAAACGAGGACGTAGTAGCACAAAAGTAGTACGTCTTTCTCCAAATCAGAAATTTGTTGTTTGTTCAGGGCAAGTTGGGGTCAATTGTATGATTCTTTTGGAACCTACTCTAAAATATGCATTGCAGCCAGGCGATCAAAAAATCATCATGAAGTTTAGCTGGGTCCCCAGATTAAAAGTTTGAACTCAAGTAACTCCCACACATTGACATGGATTTTCAGAAAGCGCACAAATGTCTGGAAGGCAAGACCTCGTGGCGCAACGGTAGCGTGTCTGACTCCAGATCAGAAGGTTGCGTGTTCAAATCACGTCGGGGTCATGTCTTTTATGCTTATCAAAAAGGCATAAGGTTGTGCTGCTGGACTACACAGTGTTCTGTGTAAGTTCTGCCAGCTACAACTTTTTGACAACATACAAAGACACTTTGGAAGCAATTACATTTCTGACAATTGAACATACTGCAACATGAGCATTGCAAACAGGCCATCAAAAAGGCATAAGGTTGTGCTGCCGGACTACACAGTGTTCTGTGTAAGTTCTGACTGCCAGCTACAACTTTTTGACAACATCCAAAGACACTAAAAAGGTGCCCAGCAGTGAGCAATTACATTTCTGACCATATATTGAACATACTGCAACATGAGCATTGCAAAGGCCATCAAAAAGGCATAAGGTTGTGCATCATAAACATGAGCATTGCAAACAGGCCATCAAAAAGGCATAAGGTTGTGCTGCTGGACTACACAGTGTTCTGTGTAAGTTCTGCCAGCTACAACTTTTTGACAACATACAAAGACACTAAAAAAAGGTGCCTAGCAGTGAGCAATTACATTTCTGACCATAGCCTAACGGGCATAAGCATGAAACGCCCAAACAGGGACTTGGACCCTCAGATTAAAAGTGTGATGCTCTACCGACTAAGCTATCCGGGCTTCGTCTGAGACTTCTTGGACGGCTTGTGTCGGAGTAAAATATGATACGTTTTGCACTCAATGTTCTAGCAACTGGAACCTCATTGGTTTTATATGCACATTTCACAAGATTAATCAAAGCCAAGTACACCTGTAGTAAATGGGGGATTTGCAAATGCCAGGTGTAATTCTTTTCAGAAACATGGGCTTTAACCAGAAAAAAGGTCACTTCAAATACCTGGACACAAAGTAACTCTTTAAAATGAACATGGATTTTCAGACACCTCATAATCTCGTAAAAAAACGAGGACGTAGTAGCACAAAAGTAGTACGTCTTTCTCCAAATCAGAAATTTGTTGTTTGTTCAGGGCAAGTTGGGGTCAATTGTATGATTCTTTTGGAACCTACTCTAAAATATGCATTGCAGCCAGGCGATCAAAACAATCATGAAGTTTAGCTGGGTCCCCAGATTAAAAGTTTGAACTCAAGTAACTCCCACACATTGACATGGATTTTCAGAAAGCGCACAAATGTCTGGAAGGCAAGACCTCGTGGCGCAACGGTAGCGTGTCTGACTCCAGATCAGAAGGTTGCGTGTTCAAATCACGTCGGGGTCATGTCTTTTATGCTTATTGAACATACTGCAACATGAGCATTGCAAACAGGCCATCAAAAAGGCATAAGGTTGTGCTGCCGGACTACACAGTGTTCTGTGTAAGTTCTGCGTAAGTTCTGCCAGCTACAACTTTTTGACAACATCCAAAGACACTAAAAAGGTGCCCAGCAGTGAGCAATTACATTTCTGACCATATTGAACATACTGCAACATGAGCATTGCAAACAGGCCATCAAAAAGGCATAAGGTTGTGCTGCCGGACTACACAGTGTTCTGTGTAAGTTCTGCGTAGGTTCTGCCAGCTACAACTTTTTGACAACATCCAAAGACACTAAAAAGGTGCCCAGCAGTGAGCAATTACATTTCTGACCATATATTGAACATACTGCAACATGAGCATTGCAAACAGGCCATCAAAAAGGCATAAGGTTGTGCCGCTGGACTACACAGTGTTCTGTGTAAGTTCTGCCAGCTACAACTTTTTGACAACATACAAAGACACTAAAAAAGGTGCCTACTGAGCAATTACATTTCTGACCATAGCCTAACGGGCATAAGCATGAAACCCCAAACAGGGACTTGGACCCTGGACAGATTAAAAGTGTGATGCTCTACCGACTGAGCTATCCGGGCTTCGTCTGAGACTTCTTGGACGGCTTGTGTCGGAGTAAAATATGATATGTTTTGCACTCAATGTTCTAGCAACTGGAACCTCATTGGTTTTATATGCACATTTCACAAGATTAATCAAAGCCAAGTACACCTGTAGTAAATGGGGGATTTGCAAATGCCAGGTGTAATTCTTTTCAGAAACATGGGCTTTAAC